GAAAGTTTTTTTAATTAATTTGTTAGTATTCAATAATTATATTAAATTTTAATTAATTTGAAATTAAATGTCTCTTAATATTTATTTTTTAATTCACAATATTCAAATTAAAGATATTATTTAAAAAAATTTAAGTTTCTTCCAATTGAATCAACAAATCATTGTTATCATATTCAAAAATTTAATTACAAAAATAATCACACCGATTGAAAGAAGGTCACACAATTCATATTTATAATTATATTTGTATTTATTTTTATTTTTTTAACTATTAAAAATATATTAAATATTTAAATATTTTTATTTATTTTAAAATATAAAAAATATTTATTTATTAACTAAAATAAAAATAATAATTAATTCAAAACAAATTCAAAGCTACAAATTAACATTATAATTATTTTGAGCAGAGGGCACTGAATATTCTTTTTTTTGGTTTCTCGCTTGGTATTCGAGGTTTCGTCTCAATTAATCCAGACTCGACTCGCATCACGTACGCATCGCGTAACTGAAAATGGTGGGTGAGTCTCCCAGCAGGAGCTACTACGTATACAAAGAATCAAAACTCGAGACCTTACTTAAACTGAAACAAACCGGTTAGCAATTGATCCAACCTCCGTTGTTGGTAGGGCACTGAATATTCTAATTAGTAAAAAAATGCACTAAATTTAAACCAACTTGCCAAACATCTTGCTTTCACAAAGAGTGAGCTCATTAGATAAAAATCTACCGGCGAAGTAAGGAAAGGGAACACGAAAAAGGAAAAGCCACTCGGAACGGAAGTCGGAACTGGCTCTTGTTCTAACGTCTTCCCCGCCTCGCATCTCCTCTCGTCTAGCTCTACTCAGGTTCGTCTTCGTTGCATTTTCTCCCTTCAAAATCTCCGTTTTCTACACTTCTCTGTTTCCCCTGCGTTTTTTTTTTTTTTCTAAGTTTTCCTGTTTGGTTGATGAGAAAATGCATGATACGTAGCCTCTCTTAAGGAAAGTTTTTCAATAATTCTTCGT